ATTGCGAGGGAACGCAAAAGAAAAAAATTCCCCCATGTCACCTCGCCGGCTCAGTATAGATCAAAGACATTCTGTTTGGGTCATTTTTTTAAACTCTTATCAGTTTTCCTCTATTCTCTTTGATGTTTTCTAAACTATGACCTCACAGTAGCCTCATTCATAAGYCAGCTCAGTCCAGGACTGACGCGTWACGTGTCCTTCTCGGATCATTCAGAAAAAATATGGAGGCGGCAAGTGGGGAAGAAGCYAGCATGRCTCTGATGCCCCTCTGAGCCAAGGGAGGTAGAGCTGGGCAGATCGACTTGTGAAAAAGAATCCTACAGGGCCACGGTAATGAACTGATGACATCAATGAGCAACCGCAAGATTAATCAACAAACAGATTTTTTACCGAGGGAGTATTAAAGATGACGCAAAACAGTTTAGTAGTTAATAGTTTAAGAAAGATTGAACCACAGGATCGCTAAATTGACTTAATTCAGTTTTATGTTTGTGTTTGACACAAGGCAGACGTCAGTGAGTGAGCGCAGGATTGATCGACAGATTTATTGCCGAGGGAATATTGGAAATGACACGGAACATCAACATTGTTGTTAGTTTGAAAACTATTAAACCACAGGATCCCAAAAGTAAGTTACTTCAGTTTGTTTTGTTCGATACGGGGCAAATTTTCATCCATCCATTTTCTTCCACCTATCCGGGGTCGGGTCGCGGGGGCAGCAGCTTCAGAAGGGAGGCCCAGACCTCCCTCTCCCCAGCCACTTCTTCCAGCTCCTCCGGGGGAACTCCAAGGCGTTCCCAGGCCAGCCGAGAGACATAGTCCCTCCAGCGTGTCCTGGGTCTTCCTCGGGGCCTCCTRCCGGTGGGACGTGCCCGGAATACCTCACCAGGGAGGCATCCAGGAGGCATCCTTACCAGATGCCCGAGCCACCTCAACTGGCTCCTCTCGACGTGGAGGAGCAGCGGCTCTACTCTGAGTCCCTCCCGGATGACCGAGCTTCTCACCAGGGAGAGCCCAGCCACCCTGCGGAGGAAACCCATTTCGGCCGCTTGTATCCAAGACCTCGTTCTTTCGGTCATGACCCAAAGCTCATGACCATAGATGAGGGTAGGAACGTAGATCGACCGGTAAATCGAGAGCTTCGCTTTCTGACTCAGCTCTCTCTTCACCACGACGGACCGGTACAGCGCCCGCTTTACAGCAGACGCTGCGCCAATCCYCCMGTCGATCTCCCGCTCCBTTCTTCCCCRWTTCGTGAACATGATCCCCAGATACTTAAACTCCTCCTCTTGAGGCAGGACGACCCCCCTGACCCGGAGAAGGCACTCTACCCTTTTCCGGCTCAAGACCATGGCCTCGGATTTGGAGGAGCTGAGCCTCATCCCGGCCGCTTCGCACTCGGCCGCGAACTGCTCCAGCGAAAGCTGCAGATCTCGTTCCGATGAAGCCTGGCTCTTGGGGCAAATTTCCGTCACACAATAACTATGTCGCGGTCCACTTCAGTCATGCTGCCGGGTTCATTTCTGCACGCGTGCGGGAACTGGCCGGCTTCTCCTGTGATTTATGAATGATCCGAGTGAGCTTAAATCCGGACCAGTCTGTGCGGCGATTTCGCGGAACTGTCACGTGAAAATGGCTAACATTTGCGATGGAACTGCCAAAAAAAGTTTTGGACTCAGGGGTTAAAGAAGCAATACCAAAACGAGTTGGTAAAAGACACGCCCCAGAAAAGGGGTGAAAGAGGGGCTTGTGGAGTTACAGTAATGAGGAATTCAGACCAAAGCGTTGCAGTTTCACTTTATATAGACCCCAGCTAAACGATTTAAATATGAAAAAGGTTTTGGAAGCATATGTCTCCTTTAAAACAACTCCTTCAATAGCCATGTCATAACATTGACGATGTGCTCACTCCTGATAACTATTTAACGGAACATCACTTTTAAAAAATGACCAAACTATCCCTTTAACATATGAAGAGGAGGTGTGTTTTTAATGTGTTGGTGCAGTTTAACGCGCCACTGCATTGGCCTTTCTCTCTGAGCTTTGTATCTACCTCACATTATTCACGACCATTTACGTTTCAACTCACTGCTTTCATTCTAAACGCTGCTTCCATTCATGAACAGTGTAGCTGAAGTAGGCAACTACTCCAACCCTAAATCTTTGTGCTGCATTAATGCCACTGGCATTACACGTGTTGTGGATTTATTTTTTTTTCTGTTACTTTGTTTTATTGTTTTTTATGCTTCAAACGAGTGTTTTATAGGTCATTCATAATGCAGCTTTGCAATAAATATTTATTGAAAATAAAGAGAAAAGTTATTTCCCTTGATAAATCAAGAATGCAAGAAGTTGTTAATTTCTTTCTTTGTTGACTTGTGGCTCCACTCAGCTGGTGAGGGAGTTTGGGGTAATATTTCCTCATTATTTCTCGTCATCCTCCGCTGGAGATCGTGCTTCTCTGGAATATCCAATTTGACTTCTTTTCTATTGTGGCAAAATGAATTGTTTATGGAGAAAAATAACCCCTCTGTTGAATTCACTGTCTTTTTTTTTTTCTTCGTGGTTTGATTGCACAAGTGAGGAAGTCTCCAGCTGTTCCAAGGATGCATGCTGAAGAACAGCACTTTTTTTATGACATCCTTTGTTGTAATTTAACGCTCTTCTATCTCTTTTTTTATCTTTTGCTATTTAGATCAAAATGACAAATCCCTACAGTGTAAATTATTGTTTTTTAAATGCATATTTAATTTATTTTTCTTTCAACTTTATTTCAGTTTTTCATGTCAGTGACTTTTATTTGAATACTGACTGAAATATTYATTTGTTTTAAGTGTAAATTCTGTTTTGCAGCTGCTCTGTTTTGTTTAGTTTTTTTATTATTATTTCTTGTACAATATGGATGCCTCAGTAAATATCCCATTGTTTTTGATGGAGCACCTAGTAAAAAAAAAAGAAAGAAAGAAGTTTTTTCTTTCGTTTTCCTTTGTAAGGCACACAAGTCATATGAATACATGCTTGCTGCTGTCAGTAATGTTTACAGCTGTGTACAGAAAAGCTGCAATCCCATCAGTCAAGACTAAAACAACCCTGTTCGTGGCTATATTAGTTTTATGTTAACACGCTTTGTCCATTAGTGGCCCTCGAAACTATTTGTTTTTGTGAACAAGTGCGCAGTGTGACATTTTGGATCATATCGGTGGCGCACCAATCCAGCGTGCCACCCAAGCTTATTGCTTTGTGTGCTGTTCAGTATTTCTTTTCTGCTTAAGGTACAGTGCTCTTTTCTCCATGGAGCGTCTCCTCCCTGAATGAATGCCCCAGGCTCTGTGAGTGTTGAAAGAAGTCTCATTATTGTGGCAATGTGTGGATAGCCCCTCATTCTTTGAGATTCACTTTTTTGGAGCATTCATAAGCCTTTCTTCTGAGATTTTCCCTGACATGTAAGCGCTGAAGCGTTTCCCCTTTGGGCCAAGCGGAGAGATGCTTGATACTCCTGTCAATGTTTCTGATGCACTTCTCGCAGCTGCTGGTTGTGAGACTCCATTACTTTAAGTGCCTTGTGGGGAAATATTGTTGCGGCCCCTCACATTCGAACCTGCTTTGCTGCTGTTTTGAGTTGTAAAGACTTAGCAGCTTTGCATGCTGTGGAAAAGCTTTGAAAGGACGACTGTGTGCTTATCGTTAAAAAACAACATTGCCTGCTTTGACGTGAAGATTGATGCACATGCTTGGACCTTTTTTTTTTTGCACTTATCAGTTGTTTCTTAAAGGGATAGTTCAGATCTGAAGAAATAACAAAAAAATCAGTTTTGAAAAAATAACTTTGACTGACTTGACAAGCTAACAGCTAGTTACAAGCTAGCTTCAAGGCTAATAGCAAAATGGGTTCCTGGCATTTTAAAACTGTGATTTTCAGAAATTTCACATTAATTCATGCAATTCATAAACTTTGACCTCACTGTCAGCTTTAAATTGCACAATTATTCTGAAATAATATGATTTTCCTTCTGAAAGTCCTAAAGGTTGCGTCAGAAGTGTTAGAGCTAGCTGTCGCTTCTATGCTTTGCAATTACAAATTACTTAAAGGAACGTATATTACCTGCTATACAGCGGGTAAAATAAGTATTGAAAACACGTCACCATTTTTCTCAGTAAATATATTACTAGAGGTGCTAATGACATGAAATTTTCACCATATGACGGTAAAAACCCAAGTGATCCATACATACA